TTGGTACCTTGCTCTAAGTAGCTCATCCCTCCTTTATTGGAAATAGAGTTTTCCCTCACATAATATATATGAAATATCTTTTCTTCTCCCTCTACTCCTCCTAGTTCTTCCCTACCTCCCCTCCTATCCAGATCCACCCTCTTTCTGTCTATCATTAGAAAACACACTTCTAAGGGATAACAATAACATAAAATAAAGAAAGACACAACATATGATAAAGCAAAAACTAACACACTAGATTGGAACAAAACAAACAGAAGTAAAAGAGAGCCCAAGAGAAGGCACAAGACCCATTTATTTGCACCCTCAGGAATTCCATAAAAACTGGAAGCCATAACATATATATAAATATATACTGTAGGGTAAAAAGAAAGAAGAAAAATATATAAATAAAATTAAGAAAAATAGAAGTAAGTAAACAACAACAAGGAAAAGTACTGACATGATGTTATGAGACAAAGAGCCTCCAAAGACACCGGTGAATTACTTTTCTGTTGGCTATTACCTGTGGGCATGCATCCCACACTTAAGAGGAGTTTGTTTTCCCAGTGAGTCTCTTTGGAGGAAATTTGTTTGCAAATGGTTATCAATTAGAGATGACTTCTGGGTTAGGGATGAGGGCTGTGTCCACTTCTTTCAGTAATAGGACCCTATCTGCTGCAGATCATGCAGGCCCTGTGGGTGCTGCTTCAGTCTCTGTGAGTTACTATGTGCATGGATCATGTTGATTTACAGGGCCTTGTTTTCTTGGTGTTCTCCATCCCTCTGACTCTTACACTGTTTTTGGCTCCTCTGAGCTCCGAAGGGAGGGATATGATGGAGACATCCTGTTTAGGGATGAGTATTTCAAGGTCTCTCTCTGCTGTATGGCTGTGGGTGCCCCCATCCCAGGGACAGCTTTCTGTCTTCCCTAGTCCCTTACTCTATCTTGAACCTCTTTAGTTCTATGTAATGTAGCTTGGTTATCATCAATTTAACAGATAAAAGTAAATTCATATCAGAATTGCCTTTATGGTTCTAGATTATCTCACTTAAGATGTTTTTTTTTTTTTAGTTCCATCCATTTCCCTGAAAATTTCATGACTTCATTAAAAAAATGTCTAAATAATACTCCATTTTGTAAATGTACCCCATTTTCTTTATTCAGTCATCTGTGAGGGACTAATAGTTTGTTTCCAATTTATGATTATTATGAATAGAGCAGCAATGAATGTGGCTGAGAAGTGTCTCTGTGGTAGGATGAAGTATCTTTTGTGTATATGCCCAAGAGTGGTACAGCTGGATCTTGAGGTAGATCAATTCTCATCTTACTCCCTAGAAGATGAGAAATCATCACACTGATTTCTGTAGTGGCTGTATATATTTGCACTCCCACCAGCAATGGATGGGTTCTCCCCTTACTTCATATCCTTGCCAGTAGGTGTTGTCACCTGTTCATTGATCTTAGTCATTCTGTCAGGTGTAAGATGGAATCTCAAATAGTTATGATCCCTGATGGCTAAGGATGTTGAACATTTCTTTAAGTGTTTCTCAGTGATTTGAGTTTCTTCTTTTGAGAATTCTATTTAGATCTTTGTCCCATTTTTAATTGGATTATTTGTTGTCTTGATATCTAGTTTTCTGAATTCTTTATATTTTTAATGTTATTCCTCTATTGTATGTGTAGTTGGTAAAATATTTCTCCATATTGTAGTTCACTACATTTTTTTTCAAATGTATCCCTGTTGGACTGAACTATTAAGTTATAGCTATGCCAAGTTATGGCTGGGTCGTAAAGTGTTTAACTGTAGATTCAGACTAAAATCTTTACCACTGCTATATTAATGCTTTTTAAATATCACATCCCATTTTAATTTCCATTACATGTTCAATCTGTTTTTCTGTCATTGTGTATATTTTTCTAACTTGGAAATAACTAAAAAACAAGGTCAGCATTGAATAGCACTGGTAATATACAAACAGTTTTCTTAAGTCAAAATGGATGGTCTAGGCCCTATCTATTTCATTTTTCCAATACATAACACATATTATATATTTAGTTATAAAATGAAAAATGATTCCATATATTTTTAAAAGCTTCACTATCTTTATTACATGCAATATATTCTAAGATTCTGTGAGCACTTGGAATGGAAACAGCTGATTAATCATCCAAAAGGTTTAACCAGCATAATCAATATAGGTATATTCATCTAGAGAGTAGATAAAACAGTTAATGCTTTAATAACATTGCTTAAGACTAAGGGTAACTGAGAAAGCATGCATTTAGAAAATCTTAATTGTTACTTCATTTTGAAAAAGAATTCACATTGATTTGAAGGGACACTTTGTTTCATATACAATATCTTCCTTTGAAAAATCTCAAGAAAACTCATTTGTAGCACACACCTTTACAAATTTCAGAATACAAATTTTCAGAGCAGCATTATTTCTCTGTTGCTAAAAATAAAAGTATTGAGAATTTTTGGAAAAAAGAAACTTTTCAAACTGAGGGAAACTTGGAGCTTTGAGTTAAGTGCTTATTTAACTATAAAAACCCACGTGTATTGTAATGAATAGAGAACCAGTTTTTACCACTGTGAAGTAACCTATTTCAGAATCAGAAAGATCATATATTAAAAAACGGTCTCTGCAGTCATCTATGTATACAAGTAAAGTCCAGCTACTGTTAAATTAACACTTCGTTAAAATATCAAAGTAAAAGTTTCAACAAATACTTTTTAATGTTATATTTCAAAACAGGACAAAAAAAAAAAAAAAATGAAGAACAGATTGCCAGGTCTTCTATTCCACAGCAGTTAAGTTTCTCAGTTCGCATTTTCTTTTCTTTTGCTGAGCTCTCTGTCGCTGGAAACTCTTAAACCGATTTCAAGGGCTACACCTGAATAAACACGTTGTAAAAGTGTTTATGTATTGAAGTGGGTCAGTTCAAGGTATGGTATTTGGCTGGAACTCCTAATTTCTCTTTTTACAGCACAAGAGCTGCCAGAAGGAGGAAGTCTGAGCTGAATTAATACATTTGTTACAGTGGAAGCAAAATGGAAACTACTCTAACCACAAATCAAACTGCCTCTTTCATTTATGCCAATGATAAAGTTTTCCTAAGAAGTATATACACTCTGGCACAGAGCCACCATAAGTTTGCATTTGAAAGAAAAATGTGTATGCTTATTTGTTTAAGGTTTACTGCTTGGGTTATTTGTAAGTCCTTTTCCTGTTAGGACTGAGTGAGTGCAGAGAGGCTTGTGAGGCAGATGCCCATTTTCATTCTTGTAGACAACTTTTCTCGGTAATAGGATGATTGTTGAAGATATCCGTGTAGCTTGGATTGGAGAGAACTTTCTTTTAAAAAGTAGCATTGGGGCATGTGAAGAACCTCTTTTTCTCTCACAACAGCTGCATGAACTCTTACAACACACTCTCGTTTTCGGATGGTAGAGTCTCTCTGCACAATTCATGTGCACACAAAACTGTTTTTGCTGCCAAAATATACTTTGTTAAGAACAAGGGCTTATTTGGTTAAATGCCATTGATGCCATTTTAGGGACTTGTTTCTCTTTTCTTTCTTCTACGGTTGGTTATGTCTTGTAGTGGACTGTGGTTGCTTCATAATTTTTGCTGAATAAATATTTTAAGAACACATGCACATTTCTCAAGGGGCAAGCCAGAGTCAATCATGCACATATTTCAAGTCATGTTATATATTACTCTTAAAGGATCAGTAACTTCATATCTAATATAGTAACTTCAGTAAGCCAGAGTAATTTCCAAGTAAAGTTACAGCACAAGACTAAATAGTTCTCCTTTGGGTGATTTCCATGGAACTAGAAAGCAACAATGGTTTTCTTTGTGTATATAGGTACAGAATATATAATAGGTCCTTGTATATTATATATATTTAGTTATAGACACACACACATATATGTATATAAAACATATAACTTAGAGTGACAATTGCTTTAAATTGGGAGCATAGTAGTACCTATGTAGTGTTTGTGGAATCATATTAAATAATGCAGAGGAAGTACCCAGAAAATCATATAGTATATTCACAGGAAGCACTCCAAACATATTGATATGGTTATAAATATTGCTACTCCATGGAAAAGGCATTACAAGACACCTCAGTTTCTAGAGTCTAGGATGCTCTGACTTGTAACACACTCTGGTTTCTCCCTCTTCTTTTGACATACAGCCACATATGCAGATTAACAAGGGTTCTAGATGTAAACTCAGTACACATCAAAGGTGAGTTCATGAGCACACTTAGGGCTTTTCCCTTTTTGGAGATTTCATTTGCATCTTCTCAAATCTTCCCAGTCAACTTTCAGTTTGTGGAAACTCACTGGGAGAGGAATTTAGAAAATTTCGTGTTTGTTTCACAATGTTTTACAATGAGCATGGGACTCACAACAGACCTGCATTCCCAGGAAAAGTCTCCCAGAATGGCATGAAGAATGTTAAATAGAGCAAACAACTTTGTAAAGTTTACTGACATAGCCAGAAGTGAGCATGGGGGAAAGGCTATCGATATTGACTTAATATGAGAAAGGCTAAAGCAAGCTGGAAAAAAGTAGATACACCCTGCAGCCATTCATTTCTTATCATTTAGAGAAAAACTACTGGGTTTTTAGTGCAGAAAAGCTCAGAGTTGACTTTGGAATCTATGTTGGATGTGGATATTTCAAGCTTGATGGTTAAGCAAATCTATTACTCTTAACCTCTCTTCCTGTCTGAGAAAGGATCAGTGAACAAGAGCAGCCATGGGATGTTACCTGGCGTACTTCTATGTGTTCTTTTCTGTGGTTGAATAATAAGACAAGTAAACAAACATGCCTGGGTATTTGTCTTTAATTATAAATATCAAGGTTTATAAGACTCTTGGTCTTAAAAAAATTCTAATAATGCTTAAATATTTTTCTCCTTTTCAAAGTATTGCAGAACTCACTCACACAACTTTATCTTTCTCACAAACCAAATGTTTATATGTTATGTCCTAGGACGCAGTATTAACGTAAAATCTGCTGGTCTCGTGGGAAGACATGGACCTCAGTCAAAACAGCCGTTCATGGTGGCCTTCTTCAAGGCAAGTGAGGTACTTCTTCGATCTGTGAGAGCAGCCAGCAAACGGAAAAATCAAAACCGCAATAAATCCAGCTCTCATCAGGACTCCTCCAGGATGTCCAGTGCTGGAGGTAAGATAAAATGAGAGTGACAGTTGTACCCAGAGAATTATTGGGTCATATGTTGCAAGTCAAGTTGCCACTATAAATTTGCCAGCTGTGTATACCTTCGTTTGGTATATTAAATCATCTGGTGATGTTTCTAGTATCCCCAGCATGTTTCACCAGTGAATCACTTAGTAATTCATTTAAAAATAACTGTGATGTGCCTTCATGTGTTGAAAGATTCCATTCAAATTAAAATCAAGCTGGCAGTAATAAAGTTATGAAACGGCTAAGTCAACTAAGTGTAGCCATAACAAAATGACACAACTTGCAGGCTAACTTCCCCAAGGAATGGTCAACCAGGTGAATTCAGCAAATAGTTCCTTTACTATTTACTTGTGAATCATGCAGCTTAGATTCTTTTAGAAAACAGGAACAGGGCAGACTATCAGAGGATCAAGGTGTGTTTGTATTTCCCTTAATTACCTGGGGGGCTGATACTGGAACTATCCAATCACATATACACGTAAAACTTTTCAGCAAAATATTACAGATGTACATCTGACATCAGTCTAATTTGATTTTAATCTATTCTCCTTTTGGTTGGAAAAGGAGCTAAAAGTGTCACTAATTAGAAAGTATGTAATGGCCAGTGATTTAACTCTGTGCATCATGCTGAGAAGGACCTTGGTTAGTTTAGGAGGCAAGCATGCTTTGTATAAGGCAAAATTGGCTGTAATTGATCTCTACATTATTACAAGAATCTATTTCCATCTATGAAAAATAACTTTGGGCCTTTACTAATCATAGCACTTCTCAATTTAGTAAAAAAATATTTGTTTACTGATAATGATGTACATAGGTGTCTTAACAGGCACCATATATATAGTACTTTGCTAGGCACAAAGGATGAGCAGAGTGCAGCCATGAATCTCACTAGCAGTATTTTGGTAAATTAGAAATATAATTTAAAATAATATTTGATATTAGTTTTTTTTTTAAATCTTCATTTTTCGAGGTTACTTCAAAGTAAGGAAAAAAAAAAAAAAAAAACTACTAGAACCTGAGATTCTCAAAAGGTGGAATTCATTCGACTTCCTGAAATGTAGTTGCTACATCAATTCATATGTGAAGAAACGGAAGCAATAGGAGAGAATTATATTTGGTACTACATTATACTGAATTAAATGCTACATATAAATTGAAACTTTCAAATAAAATTTCGCTGGAGTATAATGGTAGTTTTATGCTACTTTGTTAAAGATATTCACAAAATATTTAGTTTGGCAAGAAGCTATAGAAAATTGATTAAAATAACCTTCTAAGGCCCCCTTTTCCTTGCAAATACTAGCTTGTCAAAGATATACGCGCATGCGCACATGCGTGTGTGTGTGTGTGTGTGTGTGTGTGTGTGTGTGTGTGTGTACATATACATATATGCTGGGTGGTTTCTGATTTGACTGAAATGTTTTTAATTTAATATAGCACTTCACATCAAGAGAGGGGTTTTCTAAACCTTGAATAGAATAGTAAACATTTTTTTGAGGAAACTGGAAAGCAGAACACACAGCCATGCCTTTATTATTCGAGCTTGTAATTACTCTGGCAGAAGGTTCCAGCAACCGGAATCATCAAAGTCCTTTTCCCTATGGGCCCACTCTATTTATCTTCTCTTCTTGACCACAAAGTGACAAATGTACTTCTATAACCATAGATGAATAAAACACATGGAGCAAAAACCAGGAACCTTTTCAGCAGTTTCCCAACACATTTGGTGTATATGCTTATTATAATATAGACTGATATTTCCCTTTGCAGAGTTGGTCCTTGGCAAGCATCTCTGTGAAATATGTGGTAGATGGTTTTGAAGTTAGTTCATATTTTGATAATAAGAAAGTAGATGGTTTTCTGTGAGACTTAACCTTTCAATAGGTAATAAGCAGACTGGAAAAGCGTCATCGGATTTGGACTAAAAGCTGGGACTGAAGGAAAGGGAATGGTAATATAAACAGAACAATTTATATCTGGAGTGCTTGAAATGCCAGGTAAAATGTAAAATTATCCAAATAAAAATAATAGATGCGATAATAGTACCAGGCTTTCATAAGAAACAATGGAACAAGGGCTCCCTGACTAATTCATGGTGGAGGAAGGTTAAAGAAAGAACAATGATAGACAAAGGTTTGTCAATTTGCAGTTTTTAATGCATGTCATAAAATATTGGAAGTCTGAAAAAGCATAAGGCATAGGAGAATTAGAATCCAGGTCAGGTCATTTTGACTATTTTACTCAACTTTTTTTTTCCTGTTTCAAGGACATCTATAATGGACATGGTGGCACACTCACTTAATCCCATTACTTAGGAGGCTGAGTCTAGGAAATCCAGAATTCCAAGCCAACCTGAGCTATCTAGAGACCCTGCAGAAACATGAAAAAGGAGGGGAGGAGTGATAGAAAGAGGGAGGACAAAAGGAAGGCGTGAAGGGAGGGAGGGAGAAAGGGAAAGGAGGGGGAAGAAGAAAAATAAGATTCCTCCCTTATGACTTTTCAATGCTCTCTGTCCTTTAAACAAGCCTATGGGAGAGCCTAGACGAGTGTCTACCGCAAAATAGGAGCCCACCAATTACTAAATAAATTAACATGTTGTTTGCTTCTGGGAAACCAACTTCCACATTTAAGTGAACATTTGCAGAACCATTGCTTCCAGACTATTTGTGGAGTTTGACCCTGTCTCAGTTCCTTAGCAAGAACGTTGAGCAGCAACCCTCTAGAAGATATTGTAAGTGTCCTATTGCCCATGCACAATGACTTTTTTTTTTTAAAATTTGGTGGTAGATGAAGGAAGAAAATGCATTAGCAAAGTTTTAAACTAGCCATTCCTAAAGCTACAATGGCTTTAGGTTAATAAGGTTTTCAAAGAATCCATGGACCATGATGTTGCTTCAAGAGTTACATAACATGCTCAAAACAGCAGAGTATTAAGAGTCCGTGACAGCTAATAGGAAAAATGCCAGGTCTCAGCTCAAGCCAGAACTGCTGGAAGACATTTTATCACATGCTTAGTTCTAAGGATCCTTAGAAGTGGGTCTGATCATGTGGTGGTTTTGCCTAGAGTCTTGCTAGCTTCTCAGGGTAGTTATCTCATGTAGTTAATCCTAACACAAACATTCTACACTTATCCTCAAATCAAATAAACATATACAATGGAAATCTATGCCTTTTGAAACATATCAATCCCCAAAAGCAAATAGAATCAATTAAATTACCCAGAGTGCTTTATAATGTATTATCAGTAAAACTACACAATAAATTGGTATGTTTTGTGTATTTTAGACGTGATTTAGTCATCTTCCTAGCAAAATGACCTGATTATTTTTAAAATGTTGCAGTATTTCAATAATACCAGAATTAGTGTCGTTAATCACATCATTTTTAGTGAACATTTTGCTTGTTTGCAATTGAGGTCTCTAAAATAAATACTTTACTGAAAATCCTGCATTTCTGTATACAGAAAGGTATTTCTAATCTCAATAATTTAGGAATAATTTAGAAATTCAACATTAAAAACTGATTATTATGTAGATTGTGAATGTTTTAGAGACCTTTCTCAAACAATTACTCTGTAACATCTAATATACATGAGCTAGCCCTGTTTCTTTATTGATACGTTTTGTTTTCTATTGATTCTCATTTAAAACTGACTACATCACTTACGAGTTATATGGTTTTGGATATGACCACCAGGTGACTGTTGATCCTATTTCCTCAGTTTGAGAGTTTGAAAACAGGGGCTAGAGGTAGAAACAGCGAGCGGGAGACATTTGGGAAGCTTTTGTTTAGAGACATCTAGCAGATAGTTAGAGCCTAAAGTTTGTAGATAAAATTTTATGTCAGTGGCCTCTAAGGTATAGATGACATTTGTATGGTTACAGGGATGCATGGCTAAATAGAACTAAAGGAACATTCCAGGGTAGCTATTAACTTATTGACTAATGTTTTGTGCCATAAATTTATACCCAGAAAAAGCACAGAAGTCTCTATGCAAACAAATAGCAGCAACTCATTTGAGTTGGGTTGCATTTATTCAAATTGGGTAATTCACTAAGTGTAGCCTGTTTCCCTTTTCAGTTTTATCAAAAATTACCCTTAAGAACATATCAAATTCACTTTATTGAATAGTCTATCTTGAGCTTCCTTAGGACACATTAATCATTTTCTGTGAATAAATTAAATTTTTTGTCCTAATTATCTAGTTGTTCACTTCCCCTTTTCTTGTTTTATACTTATAATATTTAATCTATTTATATTTGACAAAAAAGAAAATACTCTATCATCTATCCTATCTTTGTGAGTCTAAAGTTTTATATCTAATTTATCTTTCATCATAATTATGGAAAACTATAACTATACACTCACCAACTCCATCAAAGACCCCAGAAGGATCTAGTATTATCCGAGACTCCTTTTCTTTTTGAAAGCTAAGAAAAAGAAAGCTGGAAGTCTCTTTTGCTTAGAAACAGAATTTCCATCATATAATTCATTCAAGCTGTTGTTACACTTTAATGTTAAATTTTATTTTGGATCTCTCTATGTATGTATGCATGTATGTGTATGTATGTATGCATGTATGTATGTATTCACTTCTGTCTACCATTTTACCATTTATCTATCATCTAGGTCTGGCATTTACCTTCTGTAATATCATGATACCTCTTAGATGAAAACATTGTTAATACACATATGGAGTTTTGACTTTCCTCAGTAGATTGTAATTCCTTTTACATTCAGGCCAGCCTATCTTCACTTGCCTTTTCAATAGTTAGTTTCATAACATTGAAACTTATGTAATCTTAGGATTTTATTATCTCATGTTTTTACCACCTATTTTATTGCATTTTCATTATTTTAAGTCAAAGATAAAATAGAATTATTTTAAACAAAATAAATTAATTTCACATTTTTTTTCTAGAAACTGGTCATGAAAATTTGCACAAATACTTAATATCTTCAATGTTAGATATTATTGC